GTTTTTTTTTCACAATGTCGAAAGTTTGGCTTCGGTACATCTTCGTAGCCAATCACATTGTGAATTATATATCCGGTAGCCAATCACATTACGTTGTGTATTCCGAACGCTATAGCCTGTCGATAATCCCGTTCGCAACATTTCCAACTCGTTCTGCACAATGTTTTATCCGCCATTTTGATGAATATTGTCTCTACTAACGAATATGGAACAGAACATGAAGGTTTACGACCAAAATCTGGAACTCATTACTTGTCTGGGTGTTCGGACCAAGGGTATGTTGAATTGTGATGACGAGGAGATCTCACTACAGAGATCAACACGCTTACTACTCGTGAAGCAACGGCAACGATAYAGTGATTGGGTTCCAATGATTGAATATCAATACAACTCTTTAGAAAATGCTTATTAATTCCATGGCTATTCAAACATCTGCAATAGATATGTCGAGTTTTAATGTAGATATGCAAAAATATTGTGTTATTATCATATCAAAAGTTAATAAAGCGTCACGTTGTAACCAAATCATTCCTAGTTATATATCTCCGGTTATATCTGACCTTAAAATTATACTGCAGAATCACAAAGGCAGTTACAGCTGAAATTTTAAGAGCCACCACATATAAGCTTATCGCAAAAATCACATATATCTTGGCAAGGCTCGGTGGATCAAATCATTTCCTTATTCTGTATCAGTAAGGATTAAGGGCTCATTTACTAATGATTTCACAACATCATGCACAACAAAGGGTACGTGTCAACCCTGCATACAGGGTCTAGTTTACTAATGATTTCACAACATCATGCACAACAAAGGGTACGTGTCAACCCTGCATACAGGGTCTAGTTATTATCTGTTTTTGAGAAGTTGTTAATGCGYCTAATTCAAAATTCTTATTCATACATGCAACTAAATTATGCTTAATTTCATCCCAAAATTTCAGGTAAAATTATTTCGTTAAACCATCGTTTCCCGGGGTTTTTGAATTTTTCATTTGTTTTAACTCATTACTTGTCTGGGTTCAGTTATTCCTTCAGTTATTTCTTTGTCACATGCCACTTTATCATACTCCGTTACCCTAGGGAGACTATATTCCGAAAGAAAATCCAAACATTCTTCATCCGTAGTTAAAGACTTTTTTGCAAATTGTGTTTCAAAATGATTATRGATTGTTTTTAATATCATTTCGGGATCCGTTATCTCAGTTTCATTACTATCGATAAGCKGGTTCTTGTTCTGGCTTCAAGGGTTTATCTCAAAGTCATTTTCCTTCAATTTTGCAAATATTCCAGCTTTAAACAATCATTGTTTGTGTACTTTCAAAAGGTAAATTAGGAAAACTAGGAATACTTTATGTTACTAAATGTACAACTAACAGATGACCCTGACATTTTAACATCAAATAATAAGATTCGACTCGCTCAAGGGTCAATTTCCATCAGAAATCACGCAAAAACCAGCTTATTTGAGAGAAATGCGGATAAAATAAGTTTCATAGTAAAGGAACTTTAGCCAGCATGATTTAACTACTTGCCTTTTTGCAATCGGTAGAGTTTATTCTCCAAATTCTCGCCTGCATTTAGCTGCAAAACCCTCACTTGAGCTGCCATCTTGTTTGCTTTTACCAGTCTCCTCGCGGTCAACATCGATCATGGTGGTAAAATAAATACCCCTCCCTCCCCTCCCTCGCATTTTAAAAATTTCCCTAAAATCAATCGCAATTCGATTTAAAAAATACTTTTTGATTATTTCAAGCTTTATGATCTTTAGCTTTCACCAACTCTTGAGATTTGCGTTTACATTCTTGATCAATTCGTCGGTCCACGCTGGTTTTGTTCCATGCCTAACATGTAAGCTAAATAAATAAAGATTAACTTCAAAAGATAAAAGATTAGTTTCCTCCGCTAAAGGACACCAAATGTCTCCCTTTTTGTTGTTGTTGTTGTTGTTGTTGTTGTTGTTAGTGTGACGTGACAAAGCAACAGTTAAGGCGTTGATTAAAAAACTCACGCAAGATCTAAATTACTGCTCGGCTATCTTATAAATGACGTCAACTTCACCAAACGTCATCTCGAGACACTCTTACCCTATAAACATTGATTATATATCCTAGCAAGCGCACGCTTCCCTGTCAAAACGAATGATCGATTTATATAAATAAAAAGAGCCAGCCTGCTGTGTATTTTTGTTAGTGAAATATTCGGAGTTGATTGGAACATTCTAGAAACATTGATCAAGAAGAGATGGCTCAGCCTCATCTAATAACAAATCAGACTGAACCGATCCACGTCTACTAGAACTCTAACCGTCAAATACAAACTATTGTATATATAGTGCGCGTCTATGAGGGTAGGACCCATCAAACCCCGGCCGTTAAAATTTATAAGTGTGGCAGCCAAGTAGACACAAGACAGTAATGCTTTCAATTAGAGGGAGTTATGACTTCAATTAGTGTATCTACTTCAACGATTTTTAGCATATCAAACAATAGTTCGGAGAAAATTCATTCGTTTGCCAAACTTTTGCTGACCATATATGGTAATCTTACCTTATAACGGAAGTACGTCAGAAAGGTTTTTATTTACATTTTTTCCACCTTTTACTGAGTGCTTTAAAATGTTTAAAACTTACAGAATTTGCAGAGAAATTACTTTTAAATATGTCGCCCATTATAAATTTGTCCTAGTCCTCTCCTCTCCTTGAAAATAAGGGATCCCCCAAGCCGACGCAGTAATATATGACTTTTGCCAGAAGTACATAACTCCTGCTTTTGCTAACTAGTTCCTTCGTTTCTTATCGTCTAAGCAAGACTATTTAGTAGTAATTGAGTACTACTTGTTTCACGGATTAAGTGCGCTCAATCACTAAATATTGTTATCAAATAAACATGTCGAAAAARAAGGAATTAGCTTAATTTGTATAAAATTTGCATTGTTTTGTTCATTTAAACACTTTTATAGAATTGTTATTCTTATAATTTAAATATAAATTGTAATGGACTGAAAATTCCTTCAAYTGGAACGACAATAATACAAATGTTTCGTCTACAACTACAGTTTTCCCACGAAGTTATAGAAGCATGAAATAACATAAATATTTTACCACTTTAGCARATAAACGTCACATAAAAAGTGAGTCACTATATATGGTCTTCTAAACACTCATAAACGCGTGAAACATAATAAATTATAGTCGCTTGAGTTAGTTTTCCTTATAGAATTGGTTTGAATAACAACAGGGGTGGCTATTTGTACGGCGATAGAATGGCTGAAACAAGATTTATTGACGAGCTTCGGAAAGAGCTAAATTGCCCCTCGTGTGGAAACATCTTGACAACTCCCAAGTCACTCCGTTGCCTTCATACTATTTGTCTAGGGTGTATCACAAAGAACCAAACGCCAGGCTTAAATAATAACRTGAGATTCATCTGTCCTGAATGCAACATTGAAACAACTTTACCAGARGGAAATGCTGTAAAGTTGCAGTCTTCCTCGTACATCGACGCCTTGTTGTACCTTCTCAATGCTATTGAGGCGAACTTTGGACATGAAAAGCAAAACCAGCCGATGAATTGTTGCTGTTGTAAGAAACTGTCGTTTAGTTTAACTGCATTCTGTGCAGAATGTAGTGGTTTAATTTGCAATGACTGCGTAAGTCTTCACAACACRAAGAAGCACAAAAACCACACTGTAGTCATGCTGCAAGAGTTCRATGAAGACAACTTAGATAATTATATCAAGTCGCAAACTTTCTGCCAAGAAACTCAGTTTCATGGCAAAAATGGCGTGAATAAAAGGATATATTATTTCTGTAAAGAAGAGGGCTGCCAACTTTGCATTTGCAGAAGATGCTGCTTGCTAGAACATCAAAAACACAGATTACTTAGTCTTGACGAAATGGTTCAGAGATTTGAAAAGAAAACTCAAGATGATATGTTGAAATTACAACAATTGTCAGAGAAACTCGAGGAGGATTTGATAGACTCTCAGAAACAGATGTCACGGGTTGATCAAGAAATCAAAGTGGCAAAACAGAAGGTACGCAACGCGGTCGAAACTGTTGTAAAGAAAGCTAAAGAACATGAAGAGACCGTCATTCAATCTTTGGAGAAAAGACTCGAGGATTACCGCGCTTCATACACCAAAGAACAAAATGACATCAAAGAAAGAAAAAAGCAGTTGGACGGCTTTACAGCGCGCTGTAAAACTATGGTTGACAAGAATAAATGGGAACTTGTGCGTATTCAAAAAAATCTCAACCATTTTTGCCAGACGTTTGTSGAAAGGCCACCAGTCGCTTCCAAGGACATCAAGCGAAACTTGACAGTTCATTACGTTACAGACTACGTCATCTGCCAATCAGTAAAGGCCATGGGTAAGATAGTGGAAAGCGTGACAGATCAATCTCACTGTCCAATAGAATCCTTGAAAGAACCTCGTTACAGCTTTGTAAATGACTCCGATTACGTGACGAGGAATTCTAATGGTGATATGTCTATGGCAACAAGATGGAAAMGGACTTTYCTGTGGAGCAGGTCGAAGTCGATGTTGTCTTTAAATGAGATACCTTCAAGATTGACTAGGGCTTATTCAGTATCGTGAGAAAATGGCTCTTTGTCGGTCTAGTTTCCAGGCTTTTCCTGCTCTCGCTCGGCCTAGAACTCTTGGGGTACTATGCTCGAGTTCTCCTTAGTGTCATCGGATTGATGCTATTAAACATTATAATGGAAAAGTGCTGTAATATTGTTTTGTTTCCGGACGCTCTGCGAACAAACAAGGACCAATAATCAAAAATTATGCTAACAAAAGCCCCGCTGAAAAAATTAAATTAGCTTTACACGTTCTCATCTGAGAAATCCAATTTCGCTTCAGAATCTCCCCCGGTCCCCGACGGTGAAAAAACTGATTTCATGAACGTGTCATTCCACGCCGTTAATTAACAAGTTTTCTTCTTTTCAATACTCTAGTTGCTAGGAAATACTTAACATATGTCTGCCAWTTGATTATTGCTATTTTAATCAATGTAGAAGTGTCTAGAAGTTGTTACGGTTAAAAAAAGACTTTTCATGGCTTGTAACTTGTCATTTTTTGTTTAAATACTAAGTTTTGCTTCTTCTACGTCAGTTTTTTTTTTTATTTTCCGAGCTTTCGGACAACTTGTCCATCATCAAGGCAAAATGAAATTACAATGTCTACAATGCTTTCATTTTGCTCTGATGATGGACAAGTTGTCCGAAAGCTCGGAAAACGTCAAAGAAGCAAAACTTAGTATTTAAACAATGGATACTACGTACGATAACATTTTAACATTGTCATTTTTTGTCATCTGTACTGATAAAAGATTTTTGAGTAATTACCTGAAGAACGCAATTTGCTCTTGCGCAGCTGTCATTTCTTATCTATTTGCAAATGATACTGTACAATAAAGATTGCCTTATTGTTGACTCAACGAGCTTATGGGGCCATAAGTGCTTCATTCAAAATGTGTTTTGTTTACCCATCATATTCATTCGGACCAATCGCGAATATTATTAAAACMCAACCAATTACTCGTGCAGGTGGGGATGATACAATTTTCGCATTGTATGACCTGATTCTTTCATTCCTAGGATTAAGAGTGCTTTCAAGAGAAATGTCTTTCGATGGCGATCACACAAAGGTCTTGGCAAAAGAGGCTGCCAATAGACCCTTGTCTCTTGTTCTGGTTGAGACAGGTCTTCTAGTGATTATAGCATTGACCGCTCTCGTTGGTAACATCTGCGTCCTGTATGTGTTCTTCAAGARGCCTCGTCTTCGCACAGTCACAAGCTACTATATCATAGCCTTGGCCATTTCAGATGTTGCACAGGCASTATTGATGATGCCCCTTGCGATAGCATTGTCGTGTGCTGGAAAAGATGTAATTGGCCATTCTTTAGGACAAATCAAAGGGTTTATCTGCGTTTCCCTCGTGGTTGGCAATCTCCTCACCACCGCCCTTATTGCCTTCAATAGATTTTTCTGTGTCGCGYATCCGGCTCTGTACAGGAAGCTGTTCAAGGCGGATAAACTAGCTCTAGCAACTGTTATTGGAGTCTGGATTTTCGTTGTACTTTTAACAGGTTTTTTTGTCTTCATGGGATGGGTTGGGTTTGAATAYTTTCCAGGGATGCATTTATACTTTTTGGTACTGACGAAGAGCTCAGCAGTTTTTCTTCTCGCCTTCTATATTGTCCTTTGCATCGTATTCCCTCTCACATCATGTCTTCTTTGCTACTGGAAAATTTACAAGCAAGTCAAAAGTCAAAATGCAACTGTCTCGTCGACTTTAAATTCAAACACTGCAAACGCTTCTTCGTTGTCTAAAGAAGAAATTTCTGTCAGTTTGTCGTTGTTGGCTTTGGTGATTAGCTTTATTTTGTGCTGGATTCCTTCTATCATTGTTTATTCTTTGGCGGTTTTTATGAATTTACCGCGTTTTGTTGAGCTAATATCAACATATGCTGTATATGCGTCCAGTACRATTAACCCTATAGTGTATAACGTATTTAATAAGCCTTTCAGAAAGGAATTTTGTGCTGTATTTTTGAAAAAAAGGCCGGTGGTAGGAGCTTCATCAACGAGCTAAGGCGGCGTTTACACGAGCAATTTTTCCTTAACAAGTTTCTTGACAAGCAAAAATTGCCCGGTGTTAATGGTCAACATTTCCTTTCGAAGAACAATGATATAAGGATTTTGAGGCACGGAATAACTTGCGAGCTATAGGGATTGAAAAAAACTTGAATTGCTAATATTATACAACAAATTTCCAATGGGAATTTTGCGAGAATAAATTCTCTACTTTGAAATCTTTTCACAAGTTGCATTTGTTTCTATTTTTAYGCAGCGATAACTTTCGATAATTTAAGTAGACTGGAACTGAAATACTGAAACCTAAGGGACTACAAATTAATTTGTTTTCTAACATCCAAATCAAGTATATGAAATGATACTAACGAGCCAATTCAATGTTGAATTAATTACACAATAGAAGACAAAGTAACGTATTTGAAAACAATTGTTTTATTACATCATTATCAAGCCTAGATGTACAAAAAGCTAATGAGCCAGTCATGCATTTTGGCGTTGCTTCTTCCTTGATTAGAAAACTGGACATTATATCAAAGGTCTCAAAGATGTCACTTCCTTACTTCCTCACCGATCATAGTATTACTGAAACACTGTGTTTCATCACTGACTCCGACGAAGGATTAACGTCCGAAACGTCAGTAAGTTATTTCACATACTTTTTTTACGGTGTTAAATTTATCTTTTTGCACAACTGAAATACAGAGCACATATTATTAATATTGATCAGTGGGGATACACAGTGCTTTTAATTGGACTTCTAATTAAAACAGGATATATTGTTTTTAATAAGTAATACCATGGAACGAGGGAAATTAGTGATTAAATTTCCACGAAACAGAGGAGAAACACGCACCGCGAGGGGCTTTTACAAATTTTCTCGAGGTATCGGGGGAATTTAGTCACTAATTTCACGAATGACATGGTATTATTTTGTAATACTATGATCGGCGAGGAAGTAAGGAAACATCTTTGATATAATGTCCAGTTTTCTAATCAAGGAAGTGTAAGCAACGCCAAAATGCATAACTAGCTCATTAGCTAGSTTGTTGTACATCTAGGCTTGATAATGATGTAATAAAACAATTGTTTTCAAATACGTTACTTTGTCTTCTATTGTGTAATTAATTCAACATTGGTTCGTTAGTATCATTTCATATACTTGATTTGSATGTTAGAAAACAACTTAATTTGTAGTCCCTTAGGTTAACAAAGATAATATTTATATCGCAGAATTAAAAATCACATGACATCGCTCAAACAACACGGCTGAGAGACTTGCATGTTGTAGTATTGAGGCGTTTACGTGTAAAATGACATAGCTTCGGAGCATTATGCATGTAAGCTCTGAATAAGGCTACATAAAGGATATAAGGCGCGCGGAGATACGGATTTTATTTTCGAGTGTTGCATTATGAAAATATTTTCAACACGAGAATATAAAATTTGTATCTCCAAACGCCGAGAACATGTAATATTCTATTTATCACAACTGTATATGAAAGCAAGCAAATTATGCCGTAAAATACCTTTTTTTCTACATCCACTATATAGAGAAACCTCGAATGTGTATTTTCACTAGTGAAGAAAAGATCAACTTTACGAAATGGAGAAATATAGGTATTTCATAGATATAATATGATAAATTTTAATATCATATAAAACTAGAATGATATGTATAATAATAGTAATACAATATATAGGAATATGATCCCGAAATTAGGAATCACACTGATCAAAATGTGATGCCATTGATAACAAAAAGTTCTGAAAATTTGATCTTTACAAGCGATTTTAACATTTTGAATTATTCATTAAAGCGGACATAATCACTATAATCTCTATCAGTGAGATTGAGCACTCTTTCGAAACTTCTTACCACGCCTTTACCAGCGATTTGTTGCAGGTATTGTGTTACTAACACTATTTAGGGACTGCGAAATATTTATCAGAAGGGGGAGGGTTAAAAGGGAGGGGGGGGGGGAGTGAGAAAGTAGTAAATAAATCAAAAAAAATAGAATTAAATTTGTAGTTTTGTTTTTGTATTTTTTTGTATTTTTTGTTTTGATTGTTTATCACAATATACATTACATACATACAAACAACAGATTACAAAATAATACAATACACAAAAAATATATATACGTGATATTTACATATTTGGGA